CTGTCGTCTTCACCCCGACGTCATGTTTTTCAGCGATGATGGAGGAGTCGAAGCTGACGCGTTTCCAGAGGCGATACCTGATGGACTGCGTGGAACGTGAGTGGCGGCCCTCTCGCTCTCCCGCCTGGCGCTGCGCTGTGGCGAGGAGCTTTTGCTGCTCGGCGTGAGGTGGGGGCATTCGCCCACAGCCTGCTTGGGTGGGCAAGCGCTTTAAAACAGCAGCATGGCTGTTTCTGACACGCGGGGACGTATGGGGTGAGGTGGCCTCAAGGGTCATCCAGGGAACAAGATGCAATGGTGTGACTTGAACCACAGTCTGTCTTGTGTCAGCGCATACCAACCAAGGTGAGATGAGGGTGGCACCCTGGGGTCTTCACTTGTGGTGCTACAGTGGATCAACAGGCAGATCTTCTGCTGGTGGTAGCCCAGGGCTGTGCATCCAGCCTCCTCTCCATCTGCCTCACTGTTGGGTTTGGTTTGTTCTCCAGGAGGAGATACCCTGCCCCTCCAGTGCCACCCCACATCCAGCAAAGAGCCAGTGCCAGCTTTCTCCTTGCCAGTTTGTCAGCCGAGCAGGCTTTCAGCTAAACCGCATCTCCGACCTGCCAAGGCCTGCCAGGCAGGCGATGCCTACACCCGAGAGAAATTCAAGCCACGGGCAAGGCGTAAGTCAGTAAACACCGCTAATAAATAAATGTTGCCACCCATTCCTTCTCTCCCCCTTATATCCATTTCCTGCTTGCACACTCAGCAGCGGCAGGGGATATCTTAATTGCACATCATCCTCACACTTTCTGTCTTCAAAGATGCTTTAAAAATGGATCTGTGAGGGAGCACCTGCTGTAAGTGCTCGCTGACTTCTGCCCGCTGGCTAGGGGAGGTGCCAGGTGATAGGGACTCACACGATCCTTGTCTAAGAAGGGAGTGCTGTGTCATTTTCTATGCCAGTTTGGTTGGCTCTTCACCACGGGTACACCTGTGTGGCACTTGCGTGGTTCAATCTGGGGATGGGCTGTCGTTAACATAACACTTCCTCTGGCATCATTAGCAGAGAAGCAGTGTGGCCAGGCTCCTCCCTGAGGAGATGCGCTGCGAATCATTTATTTCCCCCTTGGCATTCACAGGAGATTTGGAAAAGGAGAAGCAAAGGCTCCAAAACATCTTAGCGACAGGGAAGGATGTGGTGGAGCGCAAGGTGAAGCAGACGCTGGTTCAGACAAAGGAAGAGGAGATACCTGAGCCTGACCGGTTTGAAGAATGTATGTCTTTATGTACCCTGGAGGAAGGCAGGTGGGAAGGTGGCTCCCTCCGAGAGCTGGGGTGGCAGGCCGTGTTGCCAGTAACCTGAAGCCCGTTGCGGAAGGAGGCACAAAGCCCAGTTTCCAGGAGAAAGGACTGGCTGCTGTGACGCTGTGATACAGCCATCCTTCCAGAGCTTACACTGCAGGGGTTTGCTGGCAGGTTCAGGCTTCCCTGGGCAGCCCGCACAAAATGAACTCTGCTGGCAGGGGAATACCCTGGGGAGGTGCAGGGTGACCTGGGCAGGAAGCCCAGGTACTGCGGGTCCTTTTTCCAGCCAGCATAACTCAACATAGACTAGGACGCTTGCCAGCCTGTCCATGGTTTGGGCTCTGTTTTCTTTCACGCCAAGATCAGAGCAGTTACACTAGCAAAGCTTAAATGTTGAGCAGAATTTTAAGCGGTGCTGGATTTGGGCCTGCCTAATACCTCTCTGTGCTTGAATTTTCAGTGTGCGTGTACACCCCAGCCAGCCTTCCACTAGGCAGGGCAGCAGAAAGATGGACAACACTAGAATAACGCATACGGAAGGGGTGCTTTGGCCCCTGCTGCAGGGCAGCCAGTGTGGGCTGGCTTCATGCATGCTTTGTATCCTCTAAAACTTGTTGCAAGCTGCATGTTGTCCTTGACACACCTGAAATACCCAGGTACTTTGTACTGGTGGCGAGATTTGGACCGTCTGGCTACAAAGTGGCAGCTAATGTTCTGTGCCTCTGCTGATCCTGGGAGCCGAGGCGGTTTTGGTCACTGGCTAGTTCATTAGTATGTCAGCTAAGGAACCTCAACGGCTTTAAGCAGGTTCTGTCTCCATCCACAGGCCAGTTAAATTGCTCACAAGCAACAGAGAATTGTCTGTAGAAAGAAAAATAGAAAGTTACCGTTCCTGCAAGATGGGGAGCGGTAAGAAGATGGGGGGGGGGGGGCATTTCCCATTGCATAAGGCCCTGCTGAGGTATTTTGGTGACATGTTCAAGATGAGCGTTACAGCGGACACCACCCCTCCCCTGGTGGGACCGCTGTTCCAGCAGAGCTAGGCAACGGGAGTTTCGGAGCTAGGCAGAAACGTGGTTTCTTGCCTTTCTTTTGAATCCTGTTTACACAGCATTTTCTCTTCTCTGTCAGTGGTGAATGAAGTTCAGGAGAGGAAGGAGTTCCTGGCAGAGATGGAAGCTTTAGGACAGGGCAAGAAGTATCGAAGGATTGTCCTCACTGAAATCTCACAGGTACGCGAGGGCACTGGTGACACTGGCCATGCAGTGAGTGGAGGGAACCCCTGGTGTCAGAACCCTTAAAGCAGAGTCTCCCTCAACTACAGAAGGAGAAAGGGGAGAGAACAGTGTTTCCCTTTATGGCACAGGACAGACATGAATTTGGGGAAGGGGAGAAAGAGGTTTTCAGTCTTTTTTTTCCATGTCCGCGTGTAACTTCATCGGGGAAATACAAGCTTTGTTCTTGGGGTTGGCAAAAGAAAAAAGAAAAAAAAAAAAGCTGCCAGCATTCTCCCTGCTCAGTCCTTCCCCTTTTTACTTTGCAGAAAATGCGCGAGATGGAGATCATTGACAAGAAGAGAAGTAAGGAAATAAGAGAAATCATGACAAAAGACATCCCTGGTGGGAACAAATCTGATCCCTGTGACTAGGCCAAGGGAAAAAACACAAGCGCAGTTTGTTCCCACCTCTTCTTCCCAGACTCTCGGCATCAGAGTCTCAAGGGCTGGTCTGTGCCTGTGCCCAAAGAGGGGGCGGTACCACCTGTTGCCCAAAGCCAGAAGGCAGGAGCAATTTGTACATAACCGGTAACAGAAGAAAGCGGTTGTAAAATCCTACCCACGCACCGGATCCCTTCTTGCTCAACGATATTAAAGAGATGAAAACACACAGCAGCGGCTGGCCCAACATGACAAAGCAGAGCCTCCTTCTGCCAGTGCAACACCTCGGAGTACAGCAACCTACTGACAAAATCGTCATTCCTTTCCACCCACCCAGAGGTGGTTTCTCATGATGATAATGCGTGTGTTGCCACCCACATCTACGACCCGCTCCTGTCCCCCTGACTCCGGGGAATGACTGCGCAGGCAGGCAGCGGGGAGGAAGATGCAGCCGCGTGGCCTTGCGCAAACACGAGCCTCCGGCATTGCTGCAGGTCAGCACGATTGTGTGCATCAGCAAACTTCTTGGCAGCAGCTGAGCTGGGCAGGCACTCAGGAGGGAGAGGGGATTTCAGCCCAGCACACGCTGCTCTGCCCTTCGGGCTGGCTGTGGTTTTTTGGTTCCTGAAAGCATGGTATGCAGAAAAGCCACTGGTCTCCCACAGAGCCGGGAAATGGCTGTTTGCTCACCTCATACATAAACCCACCTCTGTCCTCCAGCAGGCTGAAGCACGATGCCTATTCCTGCATAAAGCCCAGCATAAAGCCCAGCTCCCAGTTTCTTTAAGATCCCGTCACCTGCTTCTTAGCAATACTCAGCCACTCCCCAGAGCCAGGCAGCATGTCCTGTCCTCAGGACAGTGCCGATACAGAAAGGAATCAGAAACGGAAGCTGCGATCGGTTTTTAAACCCAATGTTTCTTTTATTTCTCTTCAGGTGAATGGAAGTCACGGAGTTAGTACAGTATAATTTACAAATCAGAGTTCAGACTGGGCGCGGGGCCAAGGGGTGTCAGGCTGCAGTGATCCTGATGGCCTTTGGCAACAGTGACATGACAGCAGGCTCTAAAGCAGATTTGTTTCTCCTTGGAAAAGAGTTGTGCTTTGGGATCTCCCCTACCACTGCTCTTCATCAGCCTGCTGGGGTACGGCAAGAGCGAGATGGCGTCACCAGTACGGGGCTGAGCTTGCCACCTCCCAGCCACGGGGGCCGTGCTGGGATTGAGGAGGAGCTCGAGTCCCTCAGATTTTGGGAAACGAGGATCCCTTTCCAGAAAGCTACGCCAGCCACCTTGCAAGGCACTGCTCCGAGAGCGCTGTGGCTAAAGCCTGTTGGGTTTTCAGAAGGGGCAACAGCAGATTGCTCGGGGCTGGTTATGTCTAATGTGCTAATGAGAAGGCATGACGAACAGCTGACCAACCAAACACCCATGAAACTCTAATGCAGACTGATCCAACAATTCAATAAATAATCCCTTGCCTTGGAGGAGAAGGCAGGAAACAAAAATGGAAGGAAGAAGGGATGGTTGGAAGAACACCGCCCCCCCATTCCCTCCTCCACTGTACACACACGCACGCACACATGACAAATAAAATAAGGGGGTTAAAAAGTTACAGGGTGGGTTTGAATTCATCTAGTAAAGGAGGTGTAAAAAATAACCAGCCAAACCCTGCACGCTTTCAAAGCATCCACAGATGAAGCTGGGTAATGGTCAGTTGTGACCGTGCCTTTCCCCAGCCGCTCAAGGGTGGCACTGGTGAGCAGGGGCATAGGCTTAGGGCCCCTGGCTGGCACCGAGGGCACTGAGTCAGTCTTGAACTTTTCTGCCCTTGCCTGGAAAAGGAACCTTCCTCCCTCCCCCGGAAGGCAGCAGAGTCAGCGGTGTTTAGCAGCAGTGGGGGGGTAAGATGTCCTGAGTAGGGCGCATGAGCTACGTCCTAGCAGCTGTACACTGTCCCCTTGGGTCCTCTCAGCCCTGTAACAGAGCCCACCCAGCCCTGGTGCTTGAGGGAGGGGACGGCTCAAAATAAATAGGGCACCAGTTATTTTTTTGGCTATGGCTCTAGAGCCTTGTGATGCGGGAGTGTTTTCTTAACATTTTAGTTTAGGCCAGTAAAACCCAAAGAATCCTGATTCTAATGTCAGAGCTTTCTCCCAAAGTTAAAAACAGGACAGGAAGGGGACAAGAGCGGGCGGGCAGGGGGGGCCAGGCAGGCCCTGTCCCCTCCTGGCAGAGGTCGGAGGCACACGGAACTGTCAGTTACAGCGGGAGAAGGGACAGGGGGCAGTTAGTGCAAGTTTTCCCACAAACACCAAACTCCTTGGCTTGCTTCTCAGTTAATAACAAGCACACGCAATGGGGTAACGTATCCAAAAAGCGAATCCATCTTCTCCCCGCCTCGTTAGCAAGGCTTCACAGAGGGGACGGTCAGGCTCCTCTGCAGCCTCGGGAAGGGGAACGCTTTGGTTGGACTCCCCCTCCCGACTCCGGGCAGAGGGCTGGTGTCTCCCCAGGACGGCAGCTCTGGTGCCTGGGGAGGGAGTGTGGGGAGAGGAGAGTGGAGTGGAGGGAGAGGAGCCCCCCTTCCTGACAGGCATCCCAGCCAGCTACGGAGAAGTCAGGGCAGTCGGGCAGCACATCCCTCCCACTGCTGGCGTTCCCCTGCTCTAGCTTTTCTCCTTGGGCGACTTGTTCTTGGAGTCATGCTTGTTGCCCAGCAGCTTAAGCACCTTCATGGGCTTGAATTTGCCTTTCTTCTTGCTCTCGGTCTCCGCCTCCTTGTGAAATTCTGGAGTTGCAACGGGAGGTTGTTACTGTGGGGTGCTGATGGTTGTACACATGCATGCACGTGCATGACAACAAGGGGCAAGGGTGAAAGCCCTCCACTGTATGCATACTTCTTGCTGTGACAACAGGGGTGCGCAGCACAGCTGTGCCCCAAACTTTAATGGCCCTCAGGAAAGGCTCCCGAGTCTACATGGAATAGATTTGCTCCTTCTGCCCACAATTCTAAGAATGGCTCATGCTGCCCCTTGCTGGTGTCAGCAGCGAAAACATCACTCTAAGAATCTTCCCAATCATTTCTTACCTTTTCTTTTAATCATGGCTTCCAACATTTTATCCTCCTCCTCTTCTCTGAAAGAAAGAGTGGGAAATAGGTCAGCAATTCAGCCCTGAAAACAGCTGCTGTATTGTTTAAGGCTAGAGAACCTCCTACTTATAAGCCGTGGAGGGGCAGATCCATCACTGCCTTGTGAGCATTTGCTGCCAGCAGGATAAAACCCACATGCTGCAAGCACTGCCCTGTCTTTCCCACACAAGGCAATCCAAGAGGCAAGAATCAGGAAGCCTGGGAAAGACACCAGCAGCAGGGACATCTTGGGACACCCACACGAGCCACTGGTATCACGCTGGGTCGGACGGGCTACGCTTTTTTCCTCTCTCCCCCAGCCCACCCCACTCCTCACTCACCTCTGCCGGTCCTCATCCAGGCAGTTCACAATGGCATTCCTCTGCTCAATGATGGTAACCAGCTCCTGCATCAGCACCTTCTCCCTCCCTCGGTCCTCGTCCGTCCAGTCCTTCTCTACCCAGCCAAACCCCAAGGAAGGACAAGGCAATTAAATGGCTGAAGGGGCTCCGAAATTCAGAGCTTCAGGGCAGAAATCCCCTAGCACGATCCCCTGCTACCCTGCCGTGCTGCGGGGCCAGTTGGGCTAGCAGGAGCTGTGGAGGGAGAGCCCTGCAGGTGGCACCCCACGGGGACAAAAGGAGCACATCCCTGCACACGGCTGGGGCATGCAGTGAGATGGGGCAGCAGCTCTAAAGCCAGCTGGTTGCGCTGGCATCCCTAAAGATCTGTCTCTCCTTGCCTGAGACCCAGCAAGACAGAGGGGGGATGAAACCCCAGGGGCAAAATGGAGGCAACTGCACCCAGAGCAATGCTTTACCTGGCTTGTTGAGGAGGCAACGCAGTTCATACTCCACGTCCGACTGCCGCTGCTCCAGGTTCTGCTGCTTGAAGCTGCAAGGGAAGGGGGCACTGCCAGGAACCACTGCAAGGCTCCAGGGAGGCAAAATTTCATGCCATGGTACGGGGTGAGCTTGGAGAGAACCACCAAGGTGCTGATCTTATTCGGTATAGCCAGAGGGCCAGGGAGCCACGTGCCAGCAGGCACCAGCCCTGGCTGCTCAAGGCCTTCCCGGAGGAGATGCTGCAGGGGCTCTGGTGACTTGGAGCAGGTCAGTTCTGAGTGTGTTTGGATAACT